GATGATTTATAGAGCTTTTGATGCTTTGTTATGTAAACAGTTTCCTACAACCTTTAGGAAAGCAGTGTAGGCCTGGTTTGCAACATTACTTGAAAGATCTATACAAACCTTCGATCAATTTGCAAGTATGTTTATTTATCATTTTATGGGTAGTAGAACTCCCCGAAAAACAACTCATCAGTTGTTGACAATCAAACAAACAATAGACGAATCATTAAGAGCCTATATAGCAAGATTCCACAATGAAGCTGTGCAAATTGAAAAGCTAGACCAAAGCGTAACAATGCATGCTCTGATGGATGGTCTAAAGGATTCAAGCTTCTACAGGTCTTTAAATAAATGGGAACCAACCAGTTTTAATGATTTATTAAAAATAGTAGAAGGGTATATCAGAGCAAGGGAAAGAAAGGCGATCAAAGAAGCACAATTAAAAAATATCAGAGCGTCAAAGGAAACCAAAAAGTGAAAAATAGAAAAAGAAGAGATTGAAAGGAGATACAAAGACAAGAGGCAAACAAAATACAACTTGAGAAATAGAAATTCCAAACCGTAGAAAGAACTCAGGGGATACACTGTGTACACACCTTTAAATACAAGTAGAGTAGAGTAGAGATTTTGAACACAACAAAAAGGATAGAAAAGTTGCAATGGCCGACAAAACTATCAACACATCCAAATATAAGAGATAAAGCACGATTTTGCACATTTCACGAAGATCATGGGCATGATACCAAGGAATGTAGACACCTGAAAGCAGAAATTGAAAGGTTAATAAGAAGAGGAGCACGTCGACAATTTGTCAAGAAAAATCATGAAGATAGGAAAGAAAAAGTTCTGCATAATGGAGCCTCAAGAGAAGGACATAGGAAAATAGAAGATCGTCCTTTAGATGTAGTGGGGATCATCAATATTGTGACTTTGCTGAAGAAGGTACAAACTAGGGAGAAAGCTTCATTGATGACACTAGAAACACCGAAATTAACAAAGAAGGATGAAGCCATCACTTTCATAGGAAAAGATTTGTAGTAGAGAGAGGTATTTCCTCACGAACCCCTAATGATTGATGTAATAATAGAAGACAAAAACCTCCATCAAGGTAAGATAATGAAGAGAGTATTAGTAGACACCAGCAGTTGTAAGGACATACTTACATTTGAAGCCTTCCAGAAATTGGGTTTTCCCACACAAGTTATGAGGCCTTGTGACTTCCCGCTAGTAGGATTATCTGGAAAAGCTGTGTCAATAATAGGCATCATTACGTTACCTGTACACATTGGTGATACCTCTCCAAAAGCTGTGATAACCCAGGACATCTACATCATAGATTTCCCATGCTCTTTCAACACAATCTTGGGAAGACCAAGTCTGAATGCCCTACAAGTAGTAATATTCACACAGCATATGATGATTAAATTTCCCACACCCAAAGGTATTGGGATAGCTAAAGGAAGTTCTGTAGAATTTAAGGAAACTACTATAGTACAAATTTTTGAACAATGACAAGGAAAAAATATGCGCACTAATACCCAGATATAGGACCTAATTGCAACAGGAGACATAGTAAGGAGGAAAGCACTAACTGTCGACACCATGGATACCCATGGAGGATTAGAAGACCAAAGAGCAAAACCCATTGACCGCACAAAAGCTGTGTTTCTCGATCCAGAAGATCAAGAGAGGACAACCAACGTTGGAGCTTATATGGATCTTGTGTTCACGAAATGCCTAGAAGATTGTTTGAGAAAACATAAAGATGTGTTCGCTTGGAGTGCAGCAGAAATGCCAAGAATAGATCCTAAAGTTGCATGTCATAGACTTGGCATACCATCAAAAATTGTGCCAATAAGGCAAAAGATTTGACAATTTGGGGCTGAAAGAATAGCAGCTATATAAGAAGAAATAAAGAAGTTGAAAAAAGCGAGATTTATAAAAGAAATCACCATTTGCTATTGGCTATCTAATGTTGTCATGGTTAAAAAAGCAAATGGTAAATGGCGATTGTGCATAGATTTTACAAACCTCAATAAGCTGTGTCAAAAAGATAATTATGCACTTCCAAATATAGATGAGTAGGTGGATAATTCCTCCGAATACAAAGTACTCAGTTTCTGTGATGCTTATTTGGGGTATAACCAAATCCCAATGGTGAAGGAAAACCAAGATAAAACAGCTTTCATCGTAGCTAGAGAAACATATTGCTATGTGGTGATGCCATTTGGTCTAAAAAACGTAGGTGCAACATACCAACGTTTCACAAACAAAATCTTTGTACTCTTGAAGGGAAAATGCATGGAAGTATACATCGATGATTTGATAATAAAAAGTAAAAGCTTAGACCAACATCTAGAAGACTTGGAACAGGTTTTCAACGTACTGCAGAGCTTGAAATTGAATCCTGCAAAATGCACATTCAGAGTAAAAGCTAGCAAGTTTTTAGGCTTTATGTTAACCAACAGAGGAATTGAAGCTAACTCAGAAAAAGTACAGGCAATAATAGATATGAAACCTCGAACCTCAACAAAAAAAGTGCAACACCTCATGGGAAAAATTGTAGCATTAGGCAAGTTTCTATCAAAATCTACAGAAAAATGCTTACCCATTTTTAAAACCTTGCAGAGTGAAAAAACCTTTGAATGGACGCAGCCTTGTCAGAAAGCCTTTGACCAACTAAAAGTATACCTATCATCACCACCGTTAATCAGTAAACCAATCCTAAGAGAAACTTTATTTTTATACATCGTAGCTACCACGGAAGCAATCAGCATAGCTTTAGTAAGACAAGACCAGCAAAAGCAAAAACCTGTGTATTTTGTGAGTAAAATGCTACAAGAACTTGAGAAAAGATACTCACCTTTAGAGAAGTTAGCATATGCAGTCATCATAACAGCCAAAGACTCATATACTACTTCTTAATTTTAGTATTGACCAATTATCTGTTCAAATATGTGTTGCAAAAACCAGATTTAGTAGAAAGATTGGTAAAATGGAGTATTGAGCTCACAGAGTTTTAAGTAGAATTTTAGCCATGAAAAGCCATAAAGGCATAGGTTTTGGCAGACTTCATCATTGAATTAAGCAAGGAAGAGAAAGCTGTGTTGGACGCACCTTTACTAGCACACGGCATTTGGGAAAAGAGAAGCAATCTAAAACAATGCTGTTAAACCTCTTATGGATGTTACACGAAGATGGATCTTCAAGTGAAAATGGGAGTGGCGGAGGAATTATATTGACATCACCTAAGGGAGAAACCTTTGAATTTGCATTGAGGTTCACATTTGAAGCATCCAACAATAGAGTTGAATATGAAGCCTTGCTAAGGGGACTTAGATTAGCAAAAGCTATGAACATAGAATATGTGGAAATATTTAGTGACTCCCAATTAGTGGTAAACCAAATAAAGGGAAATTTTAATGCCCAGGAAGCAGCTATGGCAAAATATTTAGCAAAAACTACGCAGCTTTTGAAATCTTTCACAAGATATGAGCTTCATCATATAAAAAGAATTGACAACTCAAAAGCTAGCGCGTTGGCGAGATTGGCAAGTTCAGGAACCATTAACTTAAGAAAAGAAATATACATGGAAGAACCATGTTCCCCATCAATATATGAAGAAGATATCCTAGAGATTGAAGAAGCAATAACCTGGATGGATCCCATTAAAAGGTATTTGTCCAACAAAGGTTTGCCTGAAGATAAAGAAAAAGCTCAAAAATTGAAACGAAAAGCTGCATGGTATACAATCATCGATGATCAGCTTTATAGAAGATCATATACACAACCATTGCTTAAATGTCTAACACCATGTGAAGCAAAAAAGGTTATAAAAGAAGTGCACGTGGGAGAATGTTCCAGCCACACTGCGGTAGAAGAGCTGTCATTCAAAATCCTGCACCAAAGATACCTCTAGCCCACAATGAAAAAAGATGCAAAGGAATACGTAAGAAAGTGTGACAAGTGCCAAAGATTTGCACAAATCCAGCACCAACCATCAAATCCTTTGTGCATGATAACAACTCCATGGCCTTTCGCCTAATGGGGAATGGATATACTAGGACCTTTCCCAGAAGCCAAAGGAAAAAGGAAATACCTTATAGTAGCAATAGATTACTTTATTAAGTGGGTGGAGGTAGAAGCCGTGGCTAAAATAACAAAGCAGAAAATCAAAGAGTTTGTAAAAATATATATTCTATGCAATTCGAAACTCCAAAGATCTTGGTCACAAATAATGGGACCCAATTCGCCAGTGAAGCTTTCAAAAACTTTTGCCAAGCACATAATCTAGAAAGGTGTTTCATAATAAAAGCTCAGGTTGAGAGCGAGGGTAAGACACCTGAACAGATTGAACAAAGATTCGCTTCAGTAGCATACCCTAAGTCAAATGGACAAGCAGAAGCTGCAAACAAAGCCATACTAGACAACCTAAGGAAAAAAGTAGGAAAGGCTAAAGGCACATGGACAAAGGAACTGCCATACACACTATGGGCTTATAGAACCACACATCACACACCTACAAGCGAAGCTCCATTTAACTTGACATGCAGAACTAAAGCCGTAATCCCTGTGGAAACCAAAATTCTGACATATAGGGTAATCCACTATGATGAACACAAAAATGAGGAAGCCTTGAGAGAAAATCTCAATTTACTAGAAGAAATAAGGGACCTATCACAAATAAGAGTAGCAAACTATCATAGAAAAGTAGAAAAATATTATAATCGCAGGATAAAACCCAAAAACCTATGTAAAGGAGATTAGGTATTGCGATGAACAGAGGTTTCAAAAAGAAACTCCCAAGAAGGAAAGCTGTGACCGAATTAGGAAGGATAATACCTCATCAAAGAAGATTTAGGAAACGAAGCTTTTAAGCTAATCCATCCAAACAGAACATTAGTCTCGCGCATATGGAATGCTATAGAAATACTATTGGTAAGTAAGTAAAAAAAAAAAAAAAACCACATTCTTTGTAAAATGTTCTCAATGAACATTATAGCCACATCACCAATAAAACCTTGATTTCATTAGAATCTATCTTCAAAACTGCAGTAACTCAAAGCTTTAGGCACCAACAAAGGTGAAACAAAGCTACAAAATCTTTCAAAATAAATCCGGATGAGTTAGGAAAACTAACCAAAACATGCTTAAGCAAAATAAAAAGCCGTGAGCAAGTTAGGGTATCCACCAGTACCTTGGTAGAAGCTACATGAGCAAGGCTACAAAGGTTAATGCAGCTCTCAAACTTATAAGAGAATTTGAAACATAAACTCGTAGTAACCGATTGGAGTGTAAAGTTATATCCCAACCTATCTTTTCTACAAGAAAAAGGAGGGTGTTGCACATACTAACCAATCGCTAACTTATGAATCCTCAGTGATGAATGAGGACACCATCACCATAAGAAACTACGTAAGCCAATGGAGAGCTGCCAAAACAATAAAATCAAAATAATGAGCAAAAATTGGTGCAGTTTTGGTGGAAGGTCATAATGCCAGCATGACCCAAAAACTCGAGTTTAAAAAGAAAAAATAGTTGTTCATCAAACAAGCGCACTAAAGATATAAAAACTAACATAGCTTTTAGGAATGTCAAAACACAATCCTAAAAAGAAAATCCACAGGAAAAAACAAAAGTAACATGATCTATATATAGACTTCGAAACCCGAAATACTTCTTTGCAGGATTAGTAGTCTTAATTCCCCGGGGAAGGAGAGGCACCCGCCACGTCAGTAGAATTGTTCCCACTATGCATAGCACCAGCAGAGTCTTCAAAATCCCATGAACTACCGGATCCCTCCTCCACTCCAGATGGGGAAGCACCCAGAGAAACATATTCCGAACCCTGGTCGTAAATCCTCTTTAGCTCAAGATCAGCACAAATCAGCGCAGCAACGTCCATCTTCTCGAATTCAGCAAGACAATCAGGTAGGATCATACCTCGGCGGGGAAGCAACACCTTGACCAACTTAATGGCAATATTAAAATAGCCAAGACCATCGGAAAAGGCAAAGGCCCTACCCTCGGAGGATTCTTTAAAAGTTTGAATGGTAGAAGGAACGGAAACCCGTAAAGAAGAAACCTGCGCCTGCAAATCAGAAACAGAATTCTCCAAAACGGAATTCCTTAAGACTTGCTCATCCAGATGCTGCAAGAGAGAGGCATTCGCAGACATAAGAGAGGCATTCGCAGATGTGAGAGGGGCCTTCTCAACAGAAGCCGAAGAAGAGATAAGTTCCTTCTCCTTTTTTAACAAATCATAACATTCTTGGAGCATAGACAGCTCTTTCTTCAATCTCTCAACCTCGACCAAACTGGACTCCAAAGCTACTCTTTTATCGACACTAATCTTGTCAGAAATTAGTTTGCGACACAGGTTTATCAAATCCTTGCTCCTCGACCGCATCTCAGCAAGATCGGCCTCAGCTCGGTAAGACGAATCTTCACTCTCCAAAACAAGACCCTTCATGTACTGCAGAAGGGTGCAAACCTGGAACAAGGTGCAGAGGAGACCATCAGAAAAAGACCAAAAAGGAACTGACATTAGAAAATAATAACGAAGGAAGGAAACGCATACACTAACAGCACCATGAACAGCCATATCATGCAACACTTCCAAAGGAAAGTTAGAGAGCAATTTCTTGTCACCATTAAGAAGCTGAGATTCCGATAATTCACGAGCAACGGAATTGTGTCCAATAACAGAGGGACCGTCAGCACAAACATCATATCCTAAGAAAGAAAAGAAGAGCACGATCAAGCAAAAGAAAAAAGGAAGGAATTAAAGGAAATCAATAAAAAGAAGCCATATACTAGGACGGACCACATTCTTCAAAGGTAACCCAGGCAAGGACTTAGAAAAGCTTTTTCCAGCAACAAAATCCGTTATGGATAAAAGTAAAGCTTTTTCCTCAGAAGAAAAGCTCTGCAACTCATCATCAGAAAGAACTAATGCAGAAGATGTTTTTTCGCCACCATCCATCATATCCTTCACCACTATGCCCTTAGAAAAACTACTGTTAGCAGCAACTTTCACAGGAGAACTCCTCAACCTTTTAGATCTCCTCACAAGGGGGGCCCCTTGAGGAACAGACCCTCTAGACTTACTAGCAGTTTTCTCAATCTTCTCAGCTACCGCAAGTTTCCCAATCTTCTCAACCTTCTCAAGCTTCTCAATCTTAGCAGATCGACTCAAAGCAGCTAAGGTATCCACGCCACCTACAACAAAAGACAAAAACGCCAAAATCAACAAGAAAGAGAAGTAAGAAACAAGGGAAGAAGACAAAATACCCGCGGTAGCAAGCAAGGGCTCAGAAACAGCGACAGTACTCGCTTTGCCAGTCTTCCTTTTCAAAGGATACTCAGGCTTCGAAGAAGCTTTAAAACCAGGAGGTACCGATGGAACAGGAAAATCAGGTCCACAAAAACCGGGTACCCAAACACCCGAATCAATCAAATTCTTTTGGGTAATCGACTCGGTAATACTCATGGAAGGCTCCATGAGAAACCGGTAGACAGCTTTATAGTCGTCAACAGTTAAAAGAACCCCGCAATAGTGGTTCGCGGGACCCTCCAAATCGAGGGCAAGTCAACATCCTTTGGAGCGCCCAAAAAGAAAATCCTTCTATGCCAATTGTTAGAATCGAAACTAGGTAGAGGATCCAAGAGAACAACATTGCCTCGACGACGTTTCTTATCATCAATACCCTGAAACTCCACCACCCTACGAGAGAAATAATACCAGCTACCAGTAGGCTCAACAGTCTTTAGTTGAAAAAAGAAGCAAAACACCTTCCGAGTAGGAGTGATCTTCAGCAAAAAAACACCGCATGATGAAAGCAACAATATACGCAACAGCTCGAGGAGCCAATTGAGGCAGGCTAAGGGAGAATGCGTCACAAATTTCAGTGATAAAAGGGTGCGGAGGAAAACGCAAACCACAAGCAAATTGATCCTTATAAACACACATGTCAGGGGGAAGGCATTGAAATGCTGCGCGGCCCATAGGATGCTGTGGAGCAAATACCTATGGATCCATTAGATTCTTCTGATAAATTTCCCGTATCTCGTTAATATCACAACTACTAGTCACCCAAGAAACCTTATCCACACTACTAAAAACCCTCGCTGAACCCAGCGCAAGACCAGCTTTCTCATCTTTTGAAAGAAAAGGAAAAATAGTAGGAACCTCCGTGGGAAAGGAAGGAACCACGGGCTCTCTCTCCACATGATGAAAAGCCCCCTTCACTAAAAATCTCCCATCACTAACACGGGGGAAACGAAAAATGTCAAAATAATCAAACCCAGAAGAAGGTGTATCTATTACAACGGACAGAGGCTCCACTGCAGGAGCCGAAGCGGAATGGGCAACGGTAGAAGGAAGGGGCATAAAAGAACTGGCAGAAGAAACATTAAGGTTGATACCAGCAACAACATCCGCCTCCACCGCAGCAATAGCCTTACCAACCGAGGCAACAATGGCAGAATCTGAGAAATCTCCCTCCTCTGCACAGCAAGTTTTCATATTTGACAGTGAGGGAAGAAAAGAAAAGAGATCAAACGGAGAATAGAGAAAAGATCAAGCAGAAAACAGAAAAGAAAATCACCAAAAGAAAGAAGGAAAAATCAAGCGGAGAACAAAAACCCGAAAGAACAAAGGTGTAAAAATCAAGAATAATTGACAAAAAAAGAAGGCAAGATAATGGCCAGAAGGGAAGATAAAAAGATCGGTTGAAGAAAATTAACAAAAAAGCGGTAAAACCGTAGAAGATTCGGGAAGCAAAGAAAACCCCTTATTAAAATTTACATTTCAAAAAATCAACATTAAATGCTGAAATCCCACAAAATCCCACAGAGGCCGAAACTGGTACAATATCTCAAATGAGGGATAGACACGTGAAAAAGCCGGCAAAAGGAAATGACTACACCATAAAGAAATCATAAGGAAACAAACATTCCAATTAATGACAAATAAAGGAACCAGAATGCCTACGCAGCATACGAAGGACTGACAAAAAGCATACCAGAAGCTGCGAATATAGAGAAAAACTTATACTCTTTTTTTTTTCTTAAGTTAGTTTTTTATCTCACGCAGTTTTTTATTAAGTAATGTTTTTAACGGGGAACCATAGTGTGAGGACAGGTCCGAGGTGCCAAGACTCGGACTGCTACAGTAATCCCTTTATGACCGAAGTGAGAAATGAATCCAAAGCTTCCCGCTCAAATACCTGTATGATAACAACAATAAGCATGCCCGCACCTGATTTCTCATGATGAGTGGCACAGCAGTTATGGTGGACGCTCGTGCACCTGAATACCTCTCAAATTCCCGGTCCCGGAATAATCGTTTGGATAGACACGTCAGGCTCCGATTATCTTGCTTGGCATGCCACGTGGGTTCCTCATTGGATCCTATAAATACCCCCGGGCCACGTCAAAAAGGTAATTGAAACCAACCCTAAGCTCTTTTTATCTCTGCCTTAAAGGTAGCCCCGATTATTGCTAACTTAAGCATCGGAGTGTCTACCCCGAGTTCCACCTCGGGGCTTTGCAGGTTACTTCGGAATACAAGCGCGGACTGAAGAAGGACTTCGGGTTTGGTGCAATTACACATAGTCGCAAAATCTTTGCTGTAAAAAGATGAAACCTCTTACTAAAGGGAAAGATATGAAAAAGTTATGCACAATCTAGAGTGAAATTACAAATAGCAAAATTAACATGAAGATGAGACTTAATAAATTTTTATTACTCTTAAATTTTTTTGTTGGGAGACAAATGTTATATCTAAAATAAAGTCCTATGAGAATTAAGATATATAAAAAATTTTTACAAAGACTCCTACCAAAAATAAGATAAACTCTATTCTATTAGAATTAAAATACTCAAATATTAATTAAATAAAATTATATTCTTAAGATAATTTTATGTAATTATCTTATAAATATCTCAAGATCAACTTAAGGAGGGATATTATTTTTTCATCACCATTCTCTCTTCATTGTAAACTCTCTCTCTATCAATAAAGATCTCGATTTCACACCATTTATTCTATTTTTTTGGTGTTAACATAGGTATAACATTGTTTTAATACAAATTTAAATTAAATCTTTAAAGTGATTCAAAGTATGCTTAATCTTACTATAAATTTAATCAAAAATAAAAATAAAAATAAACAAGTATAAAACTATTTGAAATCATCATAGAGTAAGTCATTCCTCTAAGACCCTAACCTTAGAAATCTGAAACATAAAATCCCCAAACTTTCACTGGATCAACAAAACCAAACCACAAAATTGAGTAGGAAAACACAACGAGATTTGGGTAATTCAGATCTTTTTGTAGTAGTTGGTTGGAAATAAAGATGGAAGGCTGAAAATAGTGAAGGAGCAGGGAATCAAAAAGAAAGGGTAGATTGAATAGGGAAGCAGCAATAGACGGGTTAGGTCTGCTGTGCAGGTAGCCTTTCTTAATCTAAACATTTTTACAATCGTCAACTAAAACCCTTTATTTTTTATTGTTTCAAATAGGTCTTTCCGTGTGCAACCTTTTTTTTTCTTTGGAAGGACCTCCGTGTTTTCTTATTTTGGAAATAAACTTTTTTGAGTGTTTTTCATTTTTCTATATCTTTTTTTTCATTTCCTAGAAAATAATTTTTATTTTTAAATACTAAAAAAAGTTTTTTGCTCATTTTTCATTTTCAAATCAAAATGGGGATGGATAATAACATTGTTTTCCCTGTCATTCCAAACAAAGTTATCAATACCGTACCTGCATACGTACCGGTTTTGCTACTGGAACGGTACGTACCGGATACCGGAATTTTTCGTGTACCGTTTCGGATTTATCGATATAAAAATTTTTTGTGAAGAAATTCAAGAAAAATAAAAGGAGAAGGACTCAATCAAAAAAATTAAAAAGTTGAGGATGAAATCTACCAAAATAAATCCACAAATCCACCCCAATATTGAGCCCACCAACAATTTTAATTCAAGTTCCAACCCAATTTCATAGCCCAGCCCATCAAAACCCAAATTTAACAAAGAGAGGAAACCCTAGTTTCCCCTCTTTTAAAGTGTGAAAGAAACGGCAGACTAAAAAAAAAAAAACCAGAAAGCCTCTCGATTTTTCTCCCTTCTCCCTTTTGCAGATCTGCGACGGCCACCATCACCCTTGTTCCTTCACCTCCGACCTTCACCATCTCCCTTCTCCCTTCTGCAGATCTGCACGGCCACCATCACCCCTGTTCCTTCACCTCCAACCTTCACCATCCTCTTGCTAGCTAATCGTCACTCTCATCTCACCAATCACCAAGAAGACGATGTAGATCTAGCCGCAAGCCCCTTGGGACTCTGACCTTGACATTTTCTTGCGTCTCATCATCATCACTGCCTCCACCTTCATCACCGGTAAGCAGAGGGTTTCAGCAGCCACCAGAAAGGGAGGATCTCTCTTCTTCAAAAAAAATTGAAGTGGTTATCAACACTGCCGGTACGTCGGAATACCAGCCGGAATACCGAGATTTGACCGAAATGAGCGAAATTTGACCGAAACGAGCGAAATTTGACCGAAACGAAATTAAGCTTTATACCGTTTCGGTGCAATGGAAAATCCGGTACGTACCGGCCATACCGGCCGATACGAAACGGAATTAACTTCTTTGATTCCAAATAAAAAATAATTTATTCCTGCTTACAATTTGTAATTAATAATAAAAATAATATTCTCGCAACTAACTGTAATGAGAACAATGGCTTGTTCTCTGTCAATTATAAAGAAGTAATTAAATGGAAACATTTTTACATAGAATTTGTAATCGAATGGTGACAATACTCTCATAACTAATAATAATGAGAACGAATAATTTTTTATCAATATCTAATAAAACAACTTTCCTAACAAGAATAAATGTCTATTCTCGCTCAAACATTGCAAATGAGACATTTTACCTATAATTTGTAATCAACAATAATGATAATGCTCTCAAAATAATTGTAAAAATATGGCGACATATTCTTCGTCAATCATAAAAATGTCACTAAATGACAACTTCTCACCTATATTGTAGGAAACAATTTTTTTAATAAATTGCATCGAGAATGTATGTTTATGGCTTAAGTATTGAAAAAGGACCCTAACTTTTACTAAATTCTTAATTGAGGTCTTCAACATTTATTGCACTCAATTAAGGTCTTGAACTCACACAAACTCTCAAATTAGGACCCAATTGGATGGAATCTTAACATCTGTCAATTCTCACTTGACTGTCCGTTGCGGTCTGTTACTCCCTCAGTATGTGGCATGCCAATTGGAACCATAAAGCTGACTATAAAAAATATTTTCCAACATGGCATGTGAGGCGGGATCTTTCCCTCCACATAACAGGTGGTCCCACAAGACTCCTTTTCCCAGACTCTTTTTCTATTTTTGACTATTCAACACCTTTTTAATATAATATAATTCGTAAATTCGGAGACTTCATCCGCAACATGAAGAAATTGCAAGGCTTAAACCCAAAGAACTTCGGCGGAGCCAATATCTACAACGGCATTATGATCCGTTACGTCAAGGCTTTGCCGGCATACCGAGCCAACCGGAGGATTCTGTGGTGATTGATTTCAACTATTACCGCGTTGACAATGCTTCCACCCCGAGGCTAAAGGAAGACATCTGGGAAGAAATCAAGCAAATGGCATTCTTCAAGTATGGCGTGCGGCCACATTGGGCGAAGAACAAGAATCTTGGGTTCTTGGGAGTGCAGAGTAATTACCCAAACTTCAACAAATTCATTGCGGAGAAGAAACAATTGGACCTGCAAGGCATATTCTCTAGCAAATTGTCGGATCAGATATTGTTGGGAAGCAAAGCTACTAATAAAGGCAACGGGTGGGGAAGGACAGTGCATTTGCTCATAGGACAAACATTGCAGTCCGAGCACAGGGTACGTCTGCAAAGAGGGTCTTGTTTACAAGGAAGCCACAGTTTGTGGATATTCGCCATCCTCCATTGTGTAATGATTCTATGACGCCATCGAACTCCATCTCACCACCAAGAATAGCCCCAAAACAAAGCGGCTCAGGGTTAGCAAAACCCAGAAACAAAAAAGAAGAAGTTGTCCATAATATTGAGGGAATTCAGTTGCAATGGAAGTATGTCTGCATAGAGCCTTTGAAGATCTTGCAGGGAGAAAGGTAGGCTGTTGGGCGGAGAAGTTCCAAGGATTGGGTAGGCTGTTATTGGGTGGAGAAGAAGATCTTGCATGGAGAGAGGCAGATTGAAAATTCTAGGGATTTCACCCCCAAATCATGAAATAGGAAAGAAGAAGAGAGATGGGAGAAAAAGGAGCCATGGGATCACACATGCCACGTAGGAATGTAATTTTTTTCAATCAGCCTTATGGGTCTAGTTGGCATGCCACATATTGAGGAAGTAATAGACCGCAACGGACAGCCAAGTGAGAATTGACGGATGTTAAGATTGCATCCAATTGGGTCCTAATTTCAGAGTTTGTGTGAGTTCAAAACCTTAATTGAGTGCAATAAATGTTGAGGACCTCAATTGAGAATTTAGTAAAAATTAGGGTCCTTTTTCAATACTTAAGCCTATGTTTATTACTACTCAATCATTGTAGAACTAACTAAATGACAATATTTAATCAATAACAAATTATACCAATTTTGATAATTGGCAAAAAATACCAGTTTGCCCTTTAACTTTTTGAATTTGAGGCGTTTTACCCTCTATATTACAATACATAGATTTTTACCCTTCATATTTTCGAGTTTGAGGAAATGAGGCAAAATTTAACATCAAAGCATCACATGTAGCACGTGCACCGTTCGCCTTCGTCAAATATGCACATGTCAGCGCCAACTCAAACTTTTTTGACAACTTGGCATGCCAACTTGGACCCCCTTCAATGGGAAGTCTACCCGCTACCAATTTTAGTTGTGGGCTTGATGAAAGCATGAAAATGTATATCTAAAGTGTGCTTAACCATGGACATTTGTGGAATTATGGGTTTAAGAGTTATATTTTTCTATAAATAATTTCATAATTGTTCACTCTATTCATGTTGTGCAAAATTTTGGTGATTAAAGGTTTGATGACTAAATGGAGAGAATTAGAAGAAAAAGGACTTAAATGCAAAGAGCTGAAAAGA